AAACAAACAAACAACAAAAATGCCTTCTCCTAACTAGTTTTTCAATAAAATATCCAGGAGCAGTTAATGTTACAGCCCTCTAAATATGCTGAAATTTCTAATATATAAATGAGCTATATAATACCCTGTAGTATGACCAATGTTTCAGTCAGTGAAGTCTTCCTTTGTTTGCTCTTCAGGCAGTATTATCAGTCCACATTGGACTCAATGTCCCATTAATTAGACCTCCTGTAATTTATTATATTACCTCTCTTTTCCTCCCCTAGCAAAATTCACTTTAAATCTCAATGGTTCTTCTATTTACTCACTCAATAGCATCTCTGTTCATCCATCTCTTTTACTTCTCCCTTTATTTTATTTTTTTTCTTCAATTTAAATTTCAAAGGCTTCCTTCTATCTCCAGTCCTCAGTTCTTATATCTATTTCTGCCACTGCTTTCAATCTCCTTCTCCTGCCCCTTTAAACCATTGATTTTAGTTCTTCTCCTAAAGGAGATCCTTCTATTCTCCAATCTCCGATCTCTATTGCATCTCCCTGTTATTTTCTTCTGGTTTCCCTTTGTCTTCTGGGTTCTTCTTCACCCCTCCCTTCTCCACTACGCTGTTCTTCTGTCAATCAGGGCAAACCACACCTCTGCTCTGCTAACCCAGGAGGGGATCATCCTCCCTCCTCTTCCACACTCAATCTCCTCCTCGCCCTGCCAGATTGTCCAAGAATATGCCACCTCCCACGCTCGCCATCTCATTTGTTCCTCACAGGTGGATTAACTCTTTATTCACCCTCTATCCACCACTAAAAGCTTAGGACAGTTTATTTTCGTCTATAGAGGCAGTGGGTATGTGTGTTAAGGATCCTGTCTTACTTCATATGCAGCTATACAGAGAAAAAAAGTCCTTTAAAGTATTCTTGAGGTATTTTTAAGTATTGAAATATTTAAACTCTTGGTTTCCAATTCCTCCATATAGTTCGTAGGGTCAAGAAAAAGAAAAACTGTTTCTTATTTTCCATTATTATCTCCAAATCTATTTAATAATTAGAGAGCTCCACTCTTTCTTTTCTATCTTCAATCCTCGCTTTATTCATCAACATATTTTACGTAAGATGATATTCCTTGAAGTTATTTGTCCAAGACAATTTTTTCTTGTTCTTTATGCTGCTGACACTGTCTTGGAATGACTTCCAAGATGTTTTACCAAACTCCAAAAGTCACTTACTCTTAAAGTTAAAAATTGGTGGCATCCCGGTTATCTTACTGGATTCTACAACAACGCAGCCTTGATTTGCTTTCCGATCAATCCCCTCTGTCTCTCTTCTTTCTTATTTCTCTATGCAGTCCACATCCATCGGTGGTTTTAAAGTCCAAGAGCAGGAAACTGGATCCACAATAGGCTCATCTGAGCCCCCGATACCAAGGAGGCACTTCCAGACCACTCAGATGGCATTTCTGAGTGGCTCTAGAACCATGCTGTCATAGTTGCCCTTCAGAGGCAGACTGAATGGCTTCTCAAAGGGACACCATAACCAACCAGAAGTCCATAACTGAGGGGTTTCTGTTTTTATCTCTGCTAACTCTTGCAGTGTCAGCAGCATAAAGAACAAGAAAATGGGATAATTATAACAAGTAGTCCTTGGTTCCAATAGTGTGTCTCATGTAGCCCTGTACAACAAAAAAGACAAGTTAAGAAAGCACCATTACATTTTCTATTATTTTGTCCTTTCGCACAAATCTAAGAGTTCTTTTTCCTTGTTCATGTGCATGAATGCAGAACCACATGCTGAACATCAAACTTCTCCACCCTGATGCCCTCCAGATGTTTTTGGACACAAGCCACTGACCATGTTAACTGGGGCCAATATAAATGGTAGTGCAACACATCAGGAGGGTCCTAGTTTGGAGAATGGGCTGTAGCCCCTGTGTAGGCTTTAGTGAAGTCAAGTAATGAAATAAAAATGATGACTTCTACAAATAATTAAGCCATCACCACTCTCATTCCACATACAGAGCTTTCACATACAGAGCTTGTATTTGTAATCTGACATTCAGTGCTTTGCAGTCGAGTCTGTTCTCACATTCAATAAGTTGAGCCATTCAGCCAGTGCAGAGAAACCAAATGTGGACAAATTAATCTGTGTGATCCAGCCCATAGTCATTGCAGTTTTTGAAACAGCTGTTCCCTATGTTGTAGGTTTCGTAATTTACTTTGGCTATGGGATTCGCCACAGTGCAGAGAGACATGGGAGCCAAGATCCATCCTCACAGAAGACAAAGCATGCAACAAACAACACAGATTCAGCTGTCACTTGGAAAAAATAATTCAGGAGAAGCCATACTTGTAGCTGGAAGCAACTGATTTTTTACCAGTAGAAAGACTTCCCAATTGTATGATTCCATTATGCATGTTTTCCTTGTTTAATCAGCTAAAGCAAAACCAGTGCTTAAATGACAGATGTTGGATCAGCTCACAAAACGCATATCCCCTGGATGAATTGGTGTAGCATAACAGCTACAAATGAGCTATGATTCACTGTATGTCTTTAGCCAAATAACTTTTTAGTGGCTTCAGATACTGCCAACTCCTAATCTGAAATATGGGGATAATAAATTATAACAGGATTGTGGTACTAAATAATGAACTATGCTTGAACTACTTTTAAAGAACTTGAAATGCATTATATAGTTGCTAAATATTAACATGTAATAATGACCACTGGCTTGAATGGCTTTTAAGAAAGATTGGACCAATTTGTGGAAGAATGCTCAGTCATCAGTTCTTGTAGTTCATAGAGGAATTGTCACAGGTTGGAGCACTGGAATATGACTGGCGAATCCTAGGTTCAAATCCCTATTCTGCCATGAAATTCTCACTGAACTACTTATTATTGCTCTATCTAACCTACCTCGCCAAGAGAGGGCCCTTAATTAGAAGTGATGAAGAATGAAGAGTCATCATTGCAATGTGTGATCTTGGCACATCCTACTAAAAGACATCACCACAATGATGGTTGTTGTTGTTGTGTGCCTTCAAATTGTTTCCAATTTATAGCGACCCTGAAGTGAACCTATCATGGGTTCCTGGATGTCAATTACTGGTGTGGTGGTAAATTTTGGAGTACAGATGTCCCTCATGAAAGTACCCATTGTCAAGCCCAACAAGGAGAGTCCATTAATGCAGCCAATTGTGTTGATCCATACTAATATACCTGTTTTAGTTTTCAGCTGCAGTGGGAGCAGGTCTTTTGCAAAGCCTCCTACATTGCCCACTCAAGACCAAGTCATCCCAGAATTCTTTATATTACAATAGGGTCAGCTCACAACTTTACATAGTTGCTTGGAAAATCCATTTCCCTTCAGCTATTGTGAGGATTGCAGCTACGGTCAGAGGGAAAAGGGAAGGCTTATCATAGTGCTGGTGGCAGCAGATGACACCATTGTCCTTTCTGATCAAAAGCACAGGCACTTTTGGTGAGTCCTGACTACAACACTTTTTGTCAAGTGTTAAGAAGTTATTGACTTTGAGACCCACACAAATAGCTGTACTTGAAGAAATTTTACAGGTTGTAGCTCTGTCACACACATAATTAGAGTGCCTTTGTTCCACTTTAACTGCCATAGCAACATCCTGTGAAATCCTGGGATTTGTAGTTAAGGGAGAGGCATTTAGAACTCAGCCAAAGGGTTCCTCTGGTACTCTGGGCAAATTAAAAGTCCCAGGATTCTGTTGGATGCAGCCATGGTAGTTAAAGTGGAATCATAATTGTGTAGTGGAAAAAGGGCCCAAGAACTGTTTTGCTGGAAGGAATCCTGTGGGGGTCATCTTGGCTAACTGCTGTGGGGAGGAATCATCCCAAAGTCATCCCATAACAACAGAGAAGAGTTCTAAGATGTCTTGGGTACCAACAGAGCTGGAGTTGCTCCATGTAAGGCTGCCTTGACAGGGACACTGGAGTTCCTAAATACTAGAAACCCTCTGCAACAACAGCTCCAACCCAGTGTTGGTCAGTTTTGTTAGGGAGTCTACTAGGCAGTGGCTTGGATAGTAATCTGGGGAACTCTTCAAATTGTATCTAGTCTCCAGAGCCCAACACGAGGTGCTCTTGACACAGGCAGACTGGCAGCTGATCTAAGAACCTGGGCAAGTATGTGGCATTTATGACCATTAGGTGGATTATTCTTCACTAATGCTATGCAGAGAACCTAGCTATTCCTACACCTAGGGGGAAAAAACCCTTTTTCTTACTGCAGGGATATATAACTGTTCCGACAGCTTTGAGCTAGCAAACAAACGTAGGACTCATGGGAAAATTGATGTGTGGTCAAAATTGACTACTGTGGTTTATTGAAGGTACGTGCACAAGGTAAGCAGTGCTAAACCCAAGCTGCTGAACCCTATATCCAGAAAAATGCAGCACCTTGAATCACTCCTTTAATGTTTAAAACCTTTAAAGTGGTTTTAATCTGGTTTCTTGTGACTGCTCAGCTTTTGCTGTTTGTTTAAACTGGAAGGGCATAGTAGTTATACATTCCTTTGGTTTGTGAACAACAATAAAGCCATGGAAAAGTTTGTTTGATTGCTTTTATAATGAATAACATTCCCTAATTTGCTAAAATAAAAGAAGCTTTGTTAATTGATCCACGTTTACTGGTTGGTCCAAGTGGTTTGCTGGTTTTCTTAAAAACACTTCAAAAGTGGTGATATAATATGCTAATACCTCATATCAAATTAAATCTGTGCTATAGGTCCCATGGTATAGTAAAACATCAGTCCTCCCCAAGCATGTCCCCCATGTTATGTTGGGGGCAAATTGCTGGATGATATATAACATTGCCCTGTCTTCTTGTTGTAGCTGTATGTGCCTTCAAGTCATTTCTGACTTACGGTAACCCTAAAGTAAACAAACCTATTGTGGCATTTTCTTGGCAAGATTTGTTCAGAGAGGAGTTGCCTTTGCCTGTCACTGAGGATGAGAGAGTGTGATTTTCCTAAGGTCACCCAGTGGGTTTCCATTGCTGAGTGGGGATTGAAACCCTGGTCTCCAGAATCATAGTCCAGTACTCAAACCACTGCACCACAATGGCTCTTAGGCTTGCATATAAAAATGTTTAAATTGGGAGAATTGTGCACAAAAATTAGTCAAAATTTTCATGCAGTCTTAAAATAGCCCAGTACTCAAACCACTCCCTACCCCCTCATTTAATCCTCTGCTTCTCCCATCTATTCCATTTACAGCTTTCACATCTCCTATTTATGTGGATATGCACATATGTTATTATGCAGCACTTGCAAATTCTGATGTTCCTAATAAATTCTTCTTTGGAAATATCAGTGTGTGAATGTAGGGGTTGTCATGCAAGATGCCAGACCCCACAATATAGAAATGCTTCCATTTGTGGAAGTGGAAGCCACTCATTCTGGTTAAGTGGGAATCCTGAAAAATACTGATGGCCCTGTATAGGGCTGTATAGTAACATGCTTATTTTAGGCTAAATATATATGTATGTATATATATATGTATATATATATAAAAATCTGTGCCAAAGCAACCCTGATTTTTCAAGATATATGTAAAGCTTTTCATATCACACAGCTGTTTAACACTAAGGAACTGTTTATTTGAACTTGATACCATATTTCTTTGTGAACTAAGCAGCCATTTAGGACTGACCTTCAGACATTACTTATGTAGGATGTTGACTATACATCTGGCACAAGTTATTCTTTTAAACAAAGTTGTAAAGTGTTCATTTGAAAATGTATTTATTACATTGGTGTTCTGTTGTTGTTTTTCTACAAGTAATCCATCTTAACACTCAGAGGATGGCCTTATGATCACTAGCAGCTTTTAGACCAGGGATGAAAAGAATATTTGAAAATGGTCAGAAAATGGTTGAAAAAATGGGTTTCATGTGCTGAGAAACCCTGCTGAAGTGAATACTAAACAGTGGAGAATCTTCATAGTTCAACATTTATTCTGCGCAAAAACCATACACAGGCTTTGCCCACAGAAAACAGCATTTTCTTCACAGAAGACACTTTCCTGCAGAAAACAATTTCCCTGCACAGAAAATAACATTTCCTCATTTATTTATTTTTGCACAGATTGAATCCTGAACTGTGAATAGTCTTTGAAAACGTTAAAGTTTACAACAACTTTCTTGCAGCAAGGAGAAAAATGTTTAAATGTTGATTTTATATCCCTGTTCCAAACATCTAGAGGTATACAGGGACACAGTGCCTCGCCTGGGCACTTTTTATTAAATCTGAGAACCATTAGCTGCCTTTTCTTCTCCCCCCCCCCTGCTGTTTTCTGTGGAATGTATCTGAAAAGAGCTTAACAATAATATTTTGTAATTGGAAATGTGTTGCTTTTAAAAACCTGAAGTATATCTTGCAGAGTCTAGCACTGAATAGACCCATTCACCTCCGCTGTGGGATCCTGAACTCTTGTGGCACTCATGTGTGAAAGAGATTTTGTTTTAATGAAGCAAGCTGAGAGTTTGCTTTGAAATCACTGAATTCTGTGTATGTCCCAGCCCCTCTTTCTTGCGTCCCTCCCCGACCAAAAAGAACACATTGGTGTGAGATTTCTTCTTTCTGCCTGCAAAACTGCAGCAGTAGTAGCAACTTTGCAATCTGTACACTGACTTCAGTGGAAAGAGACACATCTGACTCTGTGCATCTAGCAGTTTTGCCCCCAAGATGAATTCTAAGGGACTGGCTGTTTTGAGTTGCTGCCTTCTCCTCTTTGTTTGGGGTAAGTTTTCTTTTTCTGTCACTCTTTGTTCCTCCTCTGTGCAACTTCAGTGCTGACAGTGTCATTTCTGCAGGTGATCCGGAATCACGTATTTATTTTAAGATCAATGCCATGGCAACAACCAGACTCTAGCTGATCCAATATTTTCAAGTAAGATGAGTTTAGCATAGTTGATAACTGTATATATAATAACTGTATATTAACTGCGGTTGTGAGGACAGCACTAAGATAGTCACAATTCTAAAGTTTATTGTCTAGAAGACATACAAAAGGGAAAGGAATTGGTGAGGAGGAAGAAGAAAAATGTAAACCCAGGCACTAGATCTTACAGTCAGTCCCCCATATCCATGGATTCTTTATTCATGGATTCAATCATCCATGGATTGAAAGTATTCCCAAAAAAATATACATTTCAAAAAGCAAACCTTGATTTTGCCATTTTATACAAGGGATGCCATTTTACTACACCACTGTATTTAATGGGACACAAGTATCCACAAATGTTGGGTATCCATGAGGATCTTGGAACCAAACCAAGCAGATACTAAGGGCCCACTATAGTTATAAAATTCATTATCAATGTTTTTTTTTTTTTTTTGATGGGATGGGCAGGGCAAATTCCTGAAGGGACTACTTTTTTGGCCATACAACTGGGACTGAGTTGCTCTCCCCTTCCTGTGGTGGTATTCCTGGAGGTCAGAGAGAGTGACCTCCAAGTAATCAATGGTCCCTTGGCTCCCAGCAAAAGCCAGAGGGAATTATACTTCAGTCTCTATTAATTGTATTTTTGATATGAGTGGTGACAAGAGGATGCTTTTTTAAAAAAAATGTTTTAAAAGGCAAATTTTTAAAACATTTAATTTTAAAACATTAATAAATGTTTAACACTTATTTTACAGAATTTTAAAATACCACACACAAGTGACATAATCTTTCTGGTATTTTTAGGAGATACTTAGAAATGTAGTAAAGACGAAGCTTGGAATAGTGACTTTTTGCACTATGATTCCCAGAATCACCCAGGGAGCTCCAAAAAGTCACTTTTCCTGGGCTTTGAGTAAAGGTCAATGCCACTGCTGTGATGTATCAAAATGTCTCTTTGTAGCTGAATGCCAAAAAGAAAAACCCTCCAAAGCTACTGAGAGGAAGATCGCAAAGGAGCTGAAAGCCAAAGAGAGCAAGTTTTCCAAAGCAGCTGGTAAAAACGTACAGCAAGGAGCATCAAAATTTCTAAAGAAAGGCCAAGCCAAGGCCACGGCTGTCACTCCCCGTCAAAGGCTGCCTTCACCCCTGTCTATTCTGACCCGCGCAGTGACCAAGGGGCAATTCCAGAAGGTCTCTGACACATTGGTACTGAGGGCAGGAGAAATACTGGACTTGCGCTGTAAAGGAAAAGCAGTCAAATGGAGATATCCTCCTTACCTGGAGGATGATGACACTGACAGGCGCCTCAGGTGAGTGTTGCTGGTAAGAGATCCAACTTTAAAATGATGCATTGAGGAATTAGGCACTTTTTCTTATTATTTTAATTCATTTTATTTAATTTATATCCTGCCTGCCTTCCAATATGAGTTCCAACACAGCTTACCGTATTAGCAAATAGCAAAAACAATATTGCTAAATGAAAATAAACAAAGCAAAATAGTTAAAAGAATATATAGCACTAAAATCATCATTAACCAATCCAACTGAAAAATTAAAAGCCTATAATAACAGATAGATCACACCCATTAAATATCCTTCTCTTTCCCTTCTGCTTCCCTTCCCCCCAGTTAAAAGCTGAAGGTCTATTTAAATAAAAAGATTTTTGCCGGCTAGTCAAAAAGAAAAAAGAAAGAAACACTTTTCTTTTTTCAATAATCTAGGAGCAGCTTCTGATAAGTCCCTCCTCTATGTCTATGCCAAACAAGCCTGTGGGGTGGTGGGATTGAGACAACGGACATTATCACACTGGCGGCAAGAAAGTGGCAAGAAAGTGGGATGGAATCATTCCGGAACCAGTCCCGGCAAGTGGAAAACGTTACCACACTAGACTTGAATCATTGCGGGATGGGCGATGCCAGAATGATTCCACTCCAGGGGCCCGTATCTCCTGTTCACACACGAGTGGAAAGATCCCTACCTCAATCCGGCAAGGATGTTCTTGCACATGTTCTTGCACTGTGTCAGCGCGCTGGATGGATCACACATCCCTATACACCCTCCA